AAAAATAAAGACATAAAGAAAAAAAAAAACACTGAAAGCATGTCGTGATTCAATTTCACGTGTTACATCCAACGCGTTCTTCCTTTGTAACAGACGTAACACAATCCGGCACCACTATTTTTCATCTGAAACATCCACATTTATCAAAAACTCAAAATAAATCATCAAAAGTTCAAAACCACACAGGAAAGGACATTATTAAACAAAAAGGGATTTTCTTTTTTTTTTTTAACAAGAATACCTGGTGTTAGAATTCCCAAGAGTGAGCTCAAGTTCATCCGGAACACACTCATCGTGTATCCTCTCACCTTCCCAAGGCTTCACAATCCCCTTGTTATTATTACTGCCAAAAGCAAACTCAGCCGAAATAGCATCACACATAGGCACATCAGCCGTCTGGTCGAACCCTGCTGCTACAGCTGGCGAGCAGGCTCCACTCTGGCCTGGGGTCCACATACGCGAGCCCCCATTCGAAACTGGCTCCTTGAAACCGAACGGGTTAGCAGCCACGAGGCTGAACGTAGGGGAAGAAGGCCCATCTTGTGGGGTCTGAACCCCAGAAAGCCATCCTGAATCAGGTGGGGTTTGCAGGCCAGGACTCTGTGGGGTGGACGAGGGTAAAAAGGGGGAATGCTGCTGCCAGGCGGGATTGGATGATGGGTCATCCCAATTGCCGCCACCATTCATTCTTGGAGTGCGTGCAGTGGGTGAGCTCAGAGGAGGGGTTACAGGGGCACTTATGGAGCCACCCGGGATGTAAAGATGGTGGGGAAATTTGGAAGATGGAGGTTGGGCGCCAGACGAGAGATTTTTAAGCCAGGGGATGAGGGAATTCGGGTCCGCTGTGTTGGTGGTGTTATTTGTGAAGTGGGAAGAGACGGGGCTTGCAAATGAGGACGAGATTGGGCTCGGGTTGAATGATGGGCCTGAGCTCGGCTGATATGATGAGCAAGGGCTTACTCCGGATGAGCCCATTATATCCATGCGTTCCACAGGCTTGCACCCCTGACAAAGCCAAGAAAAAAAAAAATCAAGTCACTAAAAGGCTGTTTGGTGCTGTTTGGACTTCTGGATGTAGAAGTCTATTTGGATAAATATTTATGTTTGGTGCTAAAGTAAGAATGTACTTATGGATAAGTTGTTTTAACAAAAAGTCAATTCTATAGAAGTAAAGGATGAGGACTTTTGGATAAAGTCCACTTGCACAAGTCCATTTAAGAAATGGATCTTTCCAAAAGTGCTCCCAAACAAGCACAAAGTATTAAATTTGGTCTTTAAAGAATACGCATAACTAGTAGATGTAGAGGTGGAGTGGAAATGAAAAAGAGGATGTACATAACATGTCTTGAGTATGAAAGTGTAATATTAAACAACTACTAGTGTTTTCTCTCTAATTAATGCACAACACGAAGTTCAACACTGCCTAAATCACTGCCACGTAGTTAATCAATCATGCCCGGTGGCGGGTGAATCGCAAGGCATATTAGTAATGTGATTATCCATATTCAATACTCAAGGATTGCTCAGAATGTTGCGAACAAAAGAGTGATTGAAAAAAAAAAAGTATGTGGCCTAGTAAAAAAGAATGAACTGCACAATTCCAACAAGAACTACTCAAAGTCATGTCTAGCAGAGATTAAGAAACGCTTAAATGGTCATATAGCTGCAGCTACTCCAAATGTCCAAATATACAGACGGCTTAGATCAACACCACCATGGTTTTGGGACCATTCAAAGATGGTTCGCCGTCGTGTGTGAATTTTACTTTGGATCGCATGAGCTGACACTTGCACAGAAGAAATTGAAGGAGTATATATATCACTACTTAACTTACTTCAGATGCATCTATAGGTTTTGAATTTATTTCACATAGCAAATGAAAACAAATACTAGAGTAATTCAAGCAATGTTACTAACATGGATACGATGGCAGCGTGATAATATTAGCTTTATGTATGCTAATGTGAAAATATGAACTGCTTGACATTAATCTTGGCTGTTGATCAGCCATCCACTTGACATTAAAAAAAAAAAGCATAAATAAAAAACAAAACTCATAGTTTCGTACTCTACACAAATAAATTTGACTGACAATAGGTGAAAATGGGAAGAATCTTTTGGTGTACGTGGTCCCTAGAAAAATGGTAAAATCACATTCCCAAATAATCTATCGTACGCCGCGCGGTAGATACCATTTCCCCGTAAATTTCTACCTACAAAGCAAGCAGGCCCTCACATGCTCTGGACAGCACGGCAGTTGACAGCTAATCACGCAACACTGTTTATGACCTAGAATTAGCCTCCCAGAAAAAAAGAAGTTGAAAAAAGAAATTCATTAACAATTTAACGCATTGTTTATTAAGTATTAACATAGCGGTTAGATTCGATTCCACGACTCCTATCATGCGCCGGGAGCGTACGGCGCACCTTAGCACCCCGTCCTCGACACGGCGATTGCCTCACCAGGTCCCCGCAGGTCCACCTGCAGAAACCCGATCATCGGCGCTAACTTGCACCATACGCACCCAGCTCAATTTAGCAGACACCACCCTCAGCAAGGAAATTAACTACAATCACCAGAAGCATCTAACCAAACCATTTTGAGCAAAGATCTACACATTCCCTAAAGCTAAGAAAACAATAGTTAACTTGCGCATCGACAAATTAATCAATCAATCGATCCATCGATCGATCAATCGATCTGTAATCGGTACCTTTCTGTAAGTGGTGCCGTCTTCTTCCACGATCCAGCCGGCCTCGTTGCAGAGGGCTTTGAGGACCTCGTTGTTGTCGCAGTGCTTGGGGAGCTTGTAGTTGCCGTACATCCTCAGCCCGGCGAAGATCTTGGCGGCGATCGCGCGGCGGCGCCGCTCCCTCCGTTTGTTGTTCTCTCGCTCCTTCCATGTCGGCAGCCTCGTGCCGGACGTCATCTATGCGGCGGCGTTTCAGTAAATGCCGGCCGATGAACGGAGAGGCAGCTGATCGGCGGTACGGACTGGGGTCGGGTCGGGAACCGGATAGTGCGGGCCGGGTTTCGTGGAATGTGTTTAAAGAAATGAGCGAAGAGTGCGATTAGTGAGGAAAGCAAGAGGACAGATAAATAGTTAAATACTGGAGATGGTGTATAATTGGGGTCTCGGGGAAGGGTTAATCACGAGAATGCCACTGAAAGGTTGAGTTTTGTATGAATTTGCTAATTTTATTATTATTATTATTATTATTATTTTGTAAAATTATTATTTCAAAAAAATGGTGAGAATATCTTACTTTATACTTTTTCATTTTAAATGTGTAAACGAGATAGTCCATTGAAATGAGTCGATAAATGAGTTTGAGTTTGTTTATGAATAATAACGAGTTAATTTTGAGCTGAATTGAAATTTAACGAGCTAAGTTATATAAAAGTATATAAAAATATATATTTTGAATCGATATGAGTTGATATTCTCGTTTAATAGTTCGAACTGGAAATTCTCATTTTGGTTTTTTATTTTAGTGGATAGATCCGTAGACTAGACGAGTCATAGTTGAGTATCTAATATTCAATCGTGTACTCGATAACTTAACGAGCCGCCATATCATCTCGAATTCGACTCGTTTTTCAATATTAGTAAGCTAAACTTGCCCCGAACAAACAACTTCACGATAGAATTATAAAAAAATTACATAAAAATTTATAAAAAATCTAAGGAGTTAATAATAAAATAAAATTTGATATAAAAATGAAAAGAAGAGTAGATTTTTTGTACAGGCCCTGGAAAAGCGGGTCTTGCACGTGTTTAGTCTTTTGAAGGTGGGGACAGGTGTTGGGATAGTTGCTAGGAAAGGAGTATGAAACATGCGACATGGGGGTGGCTTATTTATTTTAAAAAAAAAAAAAAAAAAAAAAAAAAAAAAAAAAAAAAAAAAAAATTGGTGGAAAAAAATCAAACACACGTATTCCGGGAATACGTTTTTCTAATTAAAATTAATTAAGAAAAACGTATTCCACGGATACGGTTTTGAATTTTTCCTAAATTAAAAAAATAAACACAAAATTCATTTAATTTTCAAATATAAAAAAAATAATAAATATAAAACGTATTAGTGGAATACGTTTTTGAATGACGAAAAAACGTTTTTAAAAATATGTTTTTAAACCGCATTAACCGTATTCAGCGAATACGTTTTTTAACTAAAATAAACTGTCGGTAACCGTATTCTGGGAATACGTTGTCGTACTAAAAAAACTGTCGGTAAACGTATTCCCGGAATACGTTTTTGGAATTAAATATAAAAAAAAAATTCTTCCATTTCATTTGCGCAGAGAGCAAAATTGCGAGAGCAAAAACACCAGTGCGAAAACAATCGAAAAAAAAAGAAACTCGATCCAATTCTCACCTCGGCGTCAACCGACAACAACGACACGATACTCCTTTCCGATTAATTCATTCGCACGAGGTATAT